GAGTCACAGTTCGGCTGTCATTGATACTCGACCAACTAGCCCAGAGCCGGTAAGCAATCCACATGTGTTAAGGCTGCAAATACCGTGGAGAAACATTGTCTGCAGTTGAAACATAGTCTTTGCGCCCTTTTAAGAGCAGAACGCACCGTTTCGTTGTTTAGAACTCGATTAACAACGTTAGAAACCGTGAATAAGCCTCACGGAAACTCCAATTTGTGTTCAGTTGAGATGTGTCAAGATATCTTGCTCTGCCTTATTGGAGAGCATTAATCTGTTTTGAGGAAACTAGATATACGTTCGGCTTGAAAGAGCAAGCTTTTGCGCACTCGGAACGAGATTTGAACCATAAAGACGGTTATATGTTTGTTCGGTTTTCGGTTAGTTTTCTAGGATAAGTCAACTCCTGCTTACTTTCTTCATAGAAGTCAGATAGAAACCGTAATGAATGCTTTGACTTTGACAAGTTCAATAAAACACAAAGGGAAATGTTTGTCTAATTTAGACAACAGTTTCAGATGAAAACTGTTACCAGAATGCATCGCTGACGGACAACACCATTATTGCCAGTATTGTGATATCAGTGGCCCATATAAACAGTATTGAGCAATTAGATCCAACGACAGGAAGCGGAATTCATTTCACAACATCAATTGTATCATCGGTTACAATGACCTTTTATATGACACAGCTATCTCAAGTACATTCTCTTTCTATCGGACAATCAAGCAATGTAAATCAGTTTCAGGCTTTACTGCATGATTCTGACGGTGCGCCACTTACGGACGAAAATGGTAAAAATATTTCACAAATTTCATCACTGGGTGATCATCCAATGATCAGTTCTGGAATAGCAATCTATCTTGTTGGCGCTGTATCAATTCAGCTATTAACGACAGATGATGGTATGCCTCCGCAGAACGTCACGGTGCTTATGCATATTTGTCAGCCTTCATTATCGACGACTATCCCATCAACAACAATACCAATATCGGCAAGTACCTAAGTGATGTGGCTTCATGCAATCTGTTTTCGTATATTATGAAAAACAAAAAGGCACCACACAAGCCCAATTATACGTTTTCGAACTGAATATTTCTACCATTCGAGTTTCACATCTGTCCGTGTGTTTACTTAAAAAAGAACGTCCTCATCTCATACAAGATAAATCGACCACAGCAGTAACGACACTTTATTCTTTTGTTCCCCACATTCAGTGAC